TTATATGAGGATAAATTAGACCAGGAATTAATGGAAGTACTTAATAATTGTATTAAATTAAAAAGTATTAGATTTAATAATTTTCCTGAAGGTATATTAGATTATGATAAAATATTGACAGTATTAAATGAAACACTACCAGTAAACTTAAAGTCAATAGCTTTCGCTTGTAGTGTCTATAATGTTAGCAACCATTCTTTGGATATTCTAATGAAGAATTGGAGAGGACTTGAACCTTTAATAATAAAGATTCAATAAATAAGTATGAAAATTTGCTAGAAAATGAATATAACAATTTAAGGTTTTTAAAAATTAAAAATATTTAAAATCATTTTATTATTATAAATGTTATCAATAGAGAATAGTCTGGAGGATTTCAATCTTACATAATTTTATTATTATTTATGTATTTGTCATTCTTTATTGTGACATAATATATTATTATTCATGCTATATATATTATATTGTGTAATATTACATTTGATGGTCATTTATGATTTATTGTTATTGATGGTAAACATCAATTGAACAGTTGGTCAACATTAGCATTAATTTAATGTTAAGTATGACTAGTGGCAAGTGGCAAATGTAAATTACAATCTTGATGGTTACTAGTTAATATTTTCTTATAAAAAGAGTTGGAGCCCCTTTGATTTCTGAATGTAACATTTTCCAATATCTAATCATATAAATAAATAATTAATATAACAACAATTCTTTTAATTAAAAATAATATTTATACAATAATATTTACACATAGATCCCTATGCAAAGTTGGCATACTTAAAACATACTTATTTCATGCTCAAAACACACTTAATTTAAGTAGAAATTAATTAATGTTTGAGCATGAAATAAGTATATTTTAAGCACATTTCAAGTGTAATTTAAGCACATTTTGACTATTATGGGGAAACACTCATTTCTTGCAAATTTAAGCATGTTTTTCTACTTATTTTCCATTTATTTTCTACTGAACTATACTTAAAAATTACTAGAAAATATATTGTTTATTTAAATTAAATAGACAATTTATTTATTTTTTTAAATACAAATAAATTTTATAAATAGCAATAATAATAATAATAATAATAATAATAAAGTAATTACTAATTTTTTTCTTTAATTGTTGTGTAAAAATAACCCATTGTTTAACTATGAACCCATTTTGGAAGAAAGAAATATTAATCACAATGTTATATAATAAAAATTATTATATGGGGTATACTGCAACAAAACCAGACAAAGTGAACATTGGTATTACCAAAAATTTTAGGGTTCAAAATTTAGTAATGTGATTATTAAAATCTCCCATTTGTTATCCTCTTAATATTAAGTGATATATAGAACTATTCCTATATAAAAATAGTTAATATGAAATTTATTTATATCAGGTCTACTATGGAACCTAAGAATTACAGCACCATTAGAAGTATTTTGAAGAAGGAACAAGGTGAAAAAATTGCACCTTACATTTTCAAGATAAATGATACTCAGACACTTGAAGCTTATCTAAGAAAAGAAAGGATTACTTATGAAATTTACCAAGAAGAAAGAAAAATAATAAGCAATAAATGAACCTTAACATCAGCTTATGATGAACCAAGAAAGAAAAGAAGACTGGCAGAATAAACAATCAAATCATTATTAATCATCATCTTCATCATCCTCTTCTTCTAGTTCAGTTGGGGAGTTTCATCATTGAGCAAGGAGTTTTCTTTTTCAAATTGCTCAACCTAAACTAGCTAAAAGAAGGAGTAATGCTCCTCCTGTGGCTCAAGCAGAAGGATTATTTCTCCTTGAGAAATCTGGTTTAGGAACACTGGTTTCTTTTCCTTGTTGAGCAAAGCAATGGTTCACTCCACCTAATTCTTCCGCATAATATTTAATAATTCCAGCTTCAGTGAATTCAGTTCCATTCCCATATTTAGTCAAGTCTAAGCCTAGTTATTGCTCATTTTTAGCCAGAGTCATTTGATCTTCCATTTCTTTTTTCTTAGCACTATCATGCTTAATTTGGTAAGTAGCTGAAAATCCAATTACATAGTGGGGAGATAAAGTAAAGAAATAATCTGTTTTTTGGTAATCATCTGTGGTGTCAACAGGGAAAGTTGGCACTCCTTGCTTATCTTTAAAATATTCTTTCAGTTCATTGAAAAAAGTAGTTATATCTTCTAAATTGAGCAGAATATCAGCAATTTTTTTTAGTTCTAATTCATCTTTTTTAAAGAGCTTTTTATCACCATAATTTTTTCATTCTTGAACTAAAGAAGTAGTAATATCAGCATCAATCTTGAAAACTGACCAAAGATTTTCACTTCTTAATTCTGGTTCAGTTAAGTAATTGTTAATTGCTAATAATTCTGTTTCTTCTTCTGGACTAAGACCAATGGTTTGCTGAGCATTATTTAACTCACTTTTTAGTAAATCAAAATAAGTTATAATGCTTTTTGAGGTTAGGTTTCTTCCTTCTTTTTTTTCTCAATTATTTAGTCTTTCTTGAAAACTAGTACCTAAACCTTGTCAAGTGCTATAAGTAGGAAGTTTAGCATTTCAAATAAGCTCTAATTGTTCTACTTTAGTGAGATATCCTTTTTCAGTAGCCATAAGGGGAGTTTCTAATTTGCCCTCCTTTTCTAAATCAGTTAAGAAGTAAATCAAAGTTCTAATGGCAATTGTTTCTTGATAAGTGATAATGTTGGTATCACTGGAATTAGTTAATTTATCACCTAAATTTTTGAGTTTGTAAATGATCAATCCTTCCAGTTTCAAGGGCTTTGATTTGATTTTGGATTTGGATTAGTTTTTGTTCTTTGTCAGCTTTTTGAAGACTAATTTTAGTTAACTCACTTCTTTTTTTTCCTAATTCTGCATGAATGCTTTCTAAACCTACTTGTTTGTCAGCCGTAATAGTTTTTCATTTGTCTCACAGGTCAATCATTCTTTCAGTAACTTCATCTTCCTCTACTTTACCATAATTAGTTAATCACTTAACTTGATGAGCATTAAATTCTGAAAATTTAGCTTTTAACTCATCAAATTTTAAATTTCTTGCTCTAGCATTAAACTCTAAAAAAGTTTTTGCAACTTCCTTTGATATTTTCCTATTAATACTTTGCCATTCTTTAGACAAGGCATCCACCTCATTTTTTTGAAATAAAAGATTACCGCTGACATCTTTGGCATTTTTGAGAAAATCTTCCACATACAATTTGTAGTTTAATCTCATAAAATATCAAATGGGGTTATATAAATGCCATTTTTTCTCATAAAGCGTTATTGCTTCCTTGCAAACTTTTTCATTATTAACAGCATCTTTACTTAATACTTCATCATAAGCACCTCAATTAATTGCCTCATCACTATTATAAACTTGCCAAAAGAATTTGGCAATTTGACCATCTGCCCAAGTTAAAGGCTTTTCTTCATAAGGAAAAAGAACTTTATGAGCTTGAAAAAAGTTTG